GTGGGGCACTGCGGGTCATAATTCTAAAGTGGCTAATTAAGCAGAATCAATCTAAAATACCAGTTCAAGTAACAACGCGTACAGCGTTCAGTTATAAATCCAATCCTTATTTGAAAAAAGGCTGATGTTGGGCACAGAGAAGTGAGTCTGGAAGGACGTTCCAGGTTTGGCAGACCCGGACGGAGAAGTAATTTGTTGACAACCGAGACGACTGTGTTATTGACTCAGCTTCAGACTATTCCCTCCGAGACTGGCGTTCCGGCTGAGTTGCAGTAGGTGGCGGCATAACTGAGTGGGTTCGCTCAGTATCTGGTAGACAAATATAAGGTCTCCAAGTAGCCGCCTGTAGCGTTCACTGAACACCCCGAGTGTCGTCAGTCGTTTCTGGTACGGAAGGTTGCGCAATCCCTTGACGAATTTTATCACTCGACGTTAGGGAGTTTCCAGCGCTGCAAGGTCACGCTTCAGCCAAGTTTGCCAAACCTGGATTGCGTATTCGATGTGGGGACGCACGTAGGCAATGAGCACCGGAGAGAATATGGATTAATCCAAACTCCCGAATGCCTTCCGCAAGATACAGAGGGTCAACCAACGCACTGGGTCAGGTAACGACACTACATTGAATGGCAGAAATGCTATTGCGAAACGTCTTAAAACAAAGGGCATTCGCGGGTTAGGAGGATGCCCGATTAGTTAAAATAGGTGTGGCTTCCTCGCACTGTTTGGAATGTTATCATCCGGAATGTGCATACTTATCCCAACAACAGATAGGAGAGCGAAATAGCTCACAAGATGCGCGTTGGTTCTGTACTGTGTGCTCGACCATACCACTCGTTAAAAGCTTGCATATTCTGGTCCAGATGTGAGACCGGTTAACCGCAGAAGACGAGCAAAGGATGAACCATAAGATTACGTAAATGGAAGCGAGGATGCGCCACGGAAGCGTAGCGGCGTGTAAGCAATGGAATGCTGTACAACCCGCTTCCACTGAGCTGCAGTCTGCCACGTCCCCATCTCCGTTGTCTACCCTAATTTTGGTAGAACGCCGGGCGAAAACGGACCGCACCTCCGAGAGTCAAACAGTAATCATGGAAAAAAATCTGGCACCACTCTGAAAGTCTTATTAAACAAATTACACTAGATCTGACATTTAGCACTAAAAAAGATGAAGCACACGAACACCAATCATCTGTACCTGCAGCTAGAATATCTCTTGTCTTGACAAGACCCCCAGGGAACTTCAGTTACATATGCAGAGCTTGCTGCAAATGTAAGCCGGGAGGTCGCCATTGCGGTCTCTTCCATTGTAAACACCGTTAACGCGAATAGAGAGACAAACAGTAAAACATCGACACTTGCCAGAAGGTGAGGACAAACGATTACCCTACCTTGTAGATCAAACAAAATGGGATCCAACAATAGTGCGGACGGTTCTATGCTCAAATATCCCTGAATCTACCGCCATCACATTGCATGGTACGCTATCGGACGAACGAGAACAGTGGAACTCATTGTGCGTGCTAATGAATCTTAAAGCAAAACCCATAAACCTATTGCAAATCACTCGTCATCCGAACTCGCCACACTATGGAGAACCCAGACTTATCCGAGTATAACTAAAATCCTTCACCGACGTAGAAAATGTTTTGCTCTCCGCACACGCACTAAGACACGAATCCTGTGGGATACGCATCTATCCTGATGTTCCTTGGGGCACGCGACAATCAAAAAGCAACACCGAAGAGGGGCACAGCAAACAAAACCGCTTAAACACAATCTTCACACATGGCGTGCCAGAACATCCTGCTAATGATGTTCACGGGACCGGAAAGTACGATTCAGAACTGTGGCAGTTCATTCGTGAAACATTCTTTGGATAATATTGTGGCGCTATCGCTCACCAGGATACCTCACTCACCAAATTACAGAGGTTTCGGCCCTAGAATCCTAGAACTCGTGGTTCAGTTAGAGCACCAAGCAACGGATGTTTTGGATCGATGACGGAGAAATCGGAAAAGCCTTCTTTCTGAACTTTGGTCAAAGACCGCAGAAGCGTTGCATCGTTCAAATGTCAATGCATCTGAAGCAGCGAACATACCGATGATGACACAGGAGCTTAACTTGACTGCTGCTTCACTTGACTCTGATGGGTGTCTAAACAAAGCTTTGGAGGCACTTTGTCCGAATCAACTTCTACACGAGATATCCTTATCCCACTATGAAAACGAGTAACTTCCGACCTCCCATCGGTTGGAATTCTGCCACCTGTGGCCCCCTAGAGACAGTGAAATTGGCAGGTTTGTATACGGATGCTCAGGGTCTTTTTATAAACTGGTCGAACTGAAAGATCGACAAACTTCCGTGTCATATGATGTCGCTGGTATCACCGAGACGTGGTTGCACACGGGAAGGAGGGACGCTGAAGTTTCGCTACCGCGCGTGTCACTGATCAGGAACGATATGCTCATAAAAGGAGGTGGGATAATTCTGTATTACCGAAGCGACTTACAATGCGAAGTCGTGGAGGGTTGAGACACGCAGTTTTCCGAGTCACCTCGGTGCCGCCTGGAGTTAAAAGGCAGTGACGCTTGCCCTATTATCTCGGTGTACGGACCCCATAACTCTACACCGGAAATCGACTGCCACCTAGAGGCTGCTTTAAGATGCCGTTTACAACGAAAGTACTCACATACCTATCGTGGGTGGTTTCAGCGTACATTGTTTAGAAATTCCTGCCACGATCTGAGAACGATGCAAAGCCGATCTACGTGAGCTTGTAACCACTGTTCCTCTTTACAAGCATGTCACTGCCTACTCGATTCAGAACAGATAACAGGCCATCTGTGCTGGATCTTTTGCTTACCAATGAAGAGCATATGATTGATGTATTGGTTTTAGACTGCCTTTAGTTAACTTCTTCTGAACACACAGCTCGGGTTCATACAGCCGGATCCCAATTGCTTCGGCGGCTTCTAGTAGTCGCTTGCGGACGTAGTTCGAGGGATTCTTTGGGGCGTGATAGATAATTTTGAACGAATCAGTGAACTTTGTGGCGTGACCTGTACCGGCTTGGTGCGTGGCCACTGAGGAGTTCTCTGTATTTCCGCATCCAGTTACAAGCCCGACCGGGTGGGGTTTCTTCATTCGCACAGATAGACGCCGTGTCGTACGACCAATGTATTCCGCTCCACAGGAGCATGAAAATGAGTAGACACATATTGAGTTGGTATGGACAGACCTCTTATCCCTTGCGTTTAGTCCCAACATCAGAATGCTAGTGAACTGGATTTGCATCTGCGCTGCTGGATAGGTGCGTCTGAGTGCAAACGAAAGACAACGAGATAGAAGTTTCGTCGCAACGTCGCCGTTGTATGACAGCTGTAGGAAGATTGTCATCCGTTCTGATGTGAAAACTACCGACTTCTTCTTCTTATGTTCTATGTTGGCTCTGATGAAGCTTTCCGGATAGCCATTCTCCCTTAGCACTAAGCGAATGCACTCCGATTCTTCCGGAAGCGTGTCGCTTGAGCAGATACGTTCAGCTCGACTCACTGGGGTATTCATCAAGTTCCGTTTAAATCTGTAACACAAAGCTGTAGAAGTTTGTGTACTGCCCATTCCACGTACTTTTTCTATAGACACAGCGCTGTAGCGCACCCCCATCCAGTGTTTTCATGGCAACACCGAGGAAATGAAAGGGACTGTTTTCTTCCACTTCGCAGGTGAACTTTATTGCTGGATTGCCTTGGTTGAACGTATTTCTTAGTTCTTCGGTACTTCGAGACGACTGAAGCAAGATAAAAATGTCGTCTACGTAACGGCAATCTAAACTGAGACTTGAGATCGTTGGCTTCAGCTTTCGGTGTTCAAGCATGCCATGAAGACGTCGGCGAGGAACCGACGCAGGGGGGAACCCATCGCTACCCCATCGCACTGCCGATATAATTCGCCATTGAATAGAAACTGAACATTAAACCTGCATCTGAGCAATAGCTTCAATAATGTTTACCAAGCGAAACACCCTCCAAAATACTGAAAAAACCCAACCCTCTATTTTGAGTAAAATCCTTTTGAGTACATTCTGCAATGTGAGGGTTTGGGATCTAAGTGGATGCACTCCTGATTTTCGGCTCGATGAGGCGCGGTCATTCATGTGCGGCCTGTTGCTGTCAGTGGTTGAGCCCAACAGAATAAGGGATGAAAATTATAAACTCAAATGTTGCGAGAAACAAAAGGTAGGACAAAGTTCTTAGATTTTACCCTGAGATGGACGACACAGACGGATAGGTTGCCTGGATTGTCGCCCACATAAATGCGATTACTTGAGCACAGCACCTTGTGAGTCGTAGTTAAAGAACACTACTGGGCTCTCTAAGTTGCGCTGTGCTAGGATCTAACCAATCATGAGCGGGTATTGATACTGCTACGTGCAGGCAAACGGTTGTAGTTTAGGCTCAACTACAGATGCGGATCCGTAGCTTCTTCCAAATGCCCCAGATTACTGATTTGCGTCCAAGAAGCGCAACTGACTCCTATGTTTTTGTTTTCTTCCTTTTCCAGGATGCCAATTCATAAGATTATTGTCCTAAACCCCTCTTTGGGTGGGTAAGTATGTGATTTTAGAATCCCTAATAGGAAGCTACACTTCTTTGAATTAAACTGTATTCAGTGGGCACGAATTTTTGAATTGGATAAACGTGGATGGTATATGTACGCTGATGTAGTTTTGTGATCACAGGATCACGCAACCGAGAAGAAATTATACAAAGTTCACCGCTTTAAGAAAGCTTCCTCATTCAAACTAGTTTTATTAGCAAATTCCTGGTGGAACACGATCTCCTAGGAGATGCTAAAATGCTAAGTGCATAGTCCCAACACTTTTGCTTGGACTTGATATAATAATCCGCTATCTCGAGAACCAGTTCAAAGAGAAAAGACCACCCGCTGTCTGTTCAAGTGTCAAGTACATAAGTCAGCCTCCAGCATGGCCATTCATAAAATCATGGCGGGTAACTAACCTTCGTGGATCCTCGTCGGCCAAATTTCGACGGCGTTATTGAATCCGATACAATAGATACTTGCCCGTGCGGACTGATGGGACCACCTGGAGTCGACGTCAATTGGCCATCGGATAAACTTGCGACAGGGCTTGTTCCGGAGCGCAGATCTTCGTCGAAATCATTTCCTGGGTTGGAACCTGCGTGTCTGGAAGAAGACTTTCGATCAGCAGATGTGGCTGAATCGGATCCTGTGGACGAACTGTGTTGCATAAGTGGTGTGTGCGAGTGTGTCAGTTGACCTGGTCGCATTAGTGGTGCACCGGAAGACATTGAAGCAAAGTGTTGCTGCATATGCGGACACATTGGTTGCTGACTCGACGATGGTGGCGGAGGTGGCGGCGGTGCTGGATGATGGTGCTGCAACCTTCCAAACGCCTGTTGAGCTGCATGATGGTGACACAACGCATCCACTTTTTCTGCGTTGAGATGGTACAACAACAAGAAGCGCATTCCGTTAGGAAAAGGACATAGAAGAACTTCATCAGATTAGCAATATCCGATCAACAAAAACGTCAGAAATATATCGTACTAGAGGACACAAATGTCAAAGAATAAAGTGTTGTCCGCTGACGAAATTCCATTGTAGGATCGGGTTAGGTGCGACAGTTTCAGACGTCTAAGTCCGTTATAGCTATAACTTCGGTCATAAGTAGCTACACGAGATAGTGAATCAGAATAATACACCAACACGCATGCTCGAAATCAGCTGTTCAGCTATAAAAGACAGCGCTGCTACCATCCTGCCAGGAGTTCAATATGTGTCGCTCTTGTATCATGGCGTTCCTGAGACGGAAGCCATAAAATCTTCATTCAATTGCTCAACGCCAAGAGTAGAAAACAGGATTTTCCCCGCCCCTCCTGGTTTGCTCAGAACCCAACTAGTTCGTAAAGCTTGGCTTCGCGAAACCTCAGGAACTAATTAGTCCCCTGATGAAAATGGAACAGTGGAACAATGATATAATACGGATAAAAGGCTAAGGTTTGTGGGAATAATATCAGTTTAAAAATGTTGTACAAAAGTGAAAAGGCGCACCAGTAAATTCACCATATTTTTCATATTAAGCCAAAGGTATTTCCGTCTAGCCCGATTTCCTGGGGTTGGAGACCACAATGTTTTTCTGCGCCATGTCGCCATTCATTGAAAAGAAATCCGCTCAAGTAATGTAGGTGGTGTAAAGTATTGTCAAGCCGTTTTGTAAAAATGGGCTGCATGGGCTAGGAAATAACAACAGTCGAAAGAGCGTTCCACGGTTGAAAACTCGAAGGGAAAAATACTTACGGCGGCACAAAAGCCGACTGTATTGGGTGACCAGTTGTAAATTATGTCCCCTCAATTCCGTGTTGCGGCTAAGAATCAGCAGGTGGCGGCAGGCGTGACCGGGGTTTTGCAAGATCTGGAACCCCAGAACGAGGTCACCCAGTAGACGACGATAATGTCCGCTGTTCACTTCCAGGGCTCTCAGTCCCCTATGATATTGCAGGCGGGCCAACACTTTCACATTTTTTGTTGCACTCCGCTGGGCGGTCTCCAGCACAACCAGATCGTGTTTTAACCAGAGTTGCCAAGCCTGGAGCGCATACCCCACATGCAGCCTCACATATGCATTGACCATTTGGAGGAAGATGGAATAATCAAATTGCCCGAACGCTCTCCGCAACAGACCAACATGTTGGTTGGCAGTTTTGGACACCTTCAAGGACTGCGCCGAACAGCCTAGATCATCTTGCACTACCACCCTAAGATCTCACTCTAATGAGGCGGTTTTCAGCATATCGTCTCCCAGCTTATATGTGTATGTGGGCTTGTGGCGGAAATGTACGGCTTTGCACTTGTCCGTGTTAAACGGAAGTAGGTTTGGCTTTGACCATCCAGTCGCAGTCTAAGTCTTGTTGCAACATATTGTGATTTCCCTGACAGCCGATTGGCCGCCATATCTTGATGTCATCGGCAACAGGAAGGAAATTTGACTTGATGACACTAGTGAGGTCGTTAATGGAAACTAGGAATAATCACGGCCTCAACACTGGCCCTTGTGGAACACCGAAGTCCATATTACTTGGGTCATAAAATGAGCCCCGAACTCGAACCTGAAGGCGCTGCTGAAGGAGGAAGTTTCTGACCCATCCAAGGACAGGGCTCCCAACTCTACACTCTTGCAGCTTTTGGAGCTGGATGAGGTGACCTATGTGCTCAAAGGCTGTAGAAAATCCTAGGTAGATGACGTCAATGCCGGTCCCACTGTCGGCTATCTCAGTCCAACTGCCACCTGCAATGAGTGGATTGGTAGTACATGACGGATGCTGACGGAATCCGTGTCATACTGGTGCTATGATGTTAGACCTTTCGGAGTAACCCATAACAGCCTCAGCTATGATCGATTCCATCACGTTTGAGAGCACCGGGAGCAGTATCTCTGGGCGATGGTTGGCGGGCTCTGAACGGCTACGACTCTCGAAAATCGGTGTAATGATGCCTTGCTTCCACATGTTAGGGACCTGCTGTTCATCCAGGCATATTTGGACAACTTTCGTTAGTGGATCAGCTATCATCGTAGCTGCCACCTGCAGTACTTTGGGGAGAATGTAGTCAACTCCGGGGGAACTATGTGTGCGCAACCAGCGCAGCTTCCCATACTGGTCGCCGAAATATAGGTGCCGTGTGTAACTACTGGCCTCTGGGAGATTGGGACAGCTATGTTACGCATGCAGATAGCACGTCGGGAAATTAAAGGATATTGAGCCGTGGAACGTTAGCTGCATCCACGACGGTTTGAGCACATCCATCTGCTGATATTAGTGGCGGAACACCACGTTTCACATTCCGGAGGCTGTTCACATGTTTGTACAGAACTATTTTGCTACCACAAAACTTTCTGCTAGACTCTGTTGGTCTACTAATATCTCCTCACGTACAAGTGTGGTGCAGTGGTTATGATGCACAACAGAGTTCCTCTAGTTGTCAGGGCTAGGGTTCGCACTATACACATGCCACGCTGAGTCCCTTAATGTCACTTGTTTTCGGGTTCTGATCCGAGTGAATGATTGTGCTTTCGCAGAAAGAAGTGGCTTGTTTACCGATGGAGATTTAACCAGATCACTAAAATTGCCAGTAAACTCCATCTGAGTACTCTCAATGGAACAGCCACCGGAGAAACTCCCAGACGGCATCTCCCACAAGTTCTGCCAGTAGGCCGTAGTGGATAATTGTTCGAAACAGGTTAGTATATTCTTGTGGATACCGCCTAACACACGAAATCGTAAATTAAGGTTACATGATCGCACCGCCCCAGAGGGCTCTCCATCCTTGCATTCTCAATTATGAGCTCATCGTTTGTGAGCACTACATCGGAAACAGATGGTTTATTTTCCGATCTGAATAAGGTGAGGAACTGACATGGCTGCAGAGCGGAATGCTTGCCGGTTTTGAACTGCTCGTTGCTGCTGCCAGAATTTCCAAATCATGAATACTGAAGTCCTTGGAGATGAGAAAAATGGCTGCGTCGCCCTCGCAGTACCCTTCCAAGGCTAATATTAGGCGGGAGTCCATCTCTGGGGGTGGACATTGGAGGACGACAAACAACGGCCAAAAGGCAAGTGTCGTTGCGTCTCAGTCGCAGACTGCAGCATAGGGAGCTTATATTCAGCATTTCTGGATCAACCACCGGTTTGCACTGCAGGTCGTTTCGGTGGTATAACAGTACACCACCGCCATTGCTAGGACGATCGCTTTGGAGAAGGGACATAGCATGTACCGCGACCAGCGCGTAGGTAATTTCTGAGTGCAACCAAGTTTCCGTGATGAATATGAGGTTCCAGGCACGTGACGTTTAACGTAGCCGCAGTTCAGCAAGCCTGTTTAGGAGATCTTGTGCACTGGTGTACATACAGAAAAGTTTCTTTCTTTTTAACAATGAATCGTGGGATGCGTGGTTTGGGTAAAGGTTGTGCCGACCGGTGAATGGTCGGTCACTAATCGCTTTTGGGTGTGCTGATGACGAACTCATCTGTGTCGGGTCCATGGATCCCACTATTACCTCTGCTTTCCTCTTTGTATGTAATGTATGGGTTATGTCTGCCAGTTTCAGGTGGTGGGTTTTCGGTTCTGTCCTAATGCCTTTCTTTCTCATATAAATGTCTAGTGGGCCATGAGCTAGGCCCTTTGGGGCCACTACAGAAGCGACGAAGGGTCCTGCAGAGAATTACGACGAGCCGGCGCAGCGTTTGTAGGCACGCTGAATTCGATTTACTAACCGCGTGCTTGCATGCTAAGTCTCTTTATTTCAGGTGGTGGGTTTACAGTTTTTGCTTTAATGTTTTTCTTTCTCATATAAATGTCTCCCTGTACTCTATTCCATTAACTTGCACACATCGCCTAAGCTAATTGTATTCGATTTCCATAACACTTTTGTGTTCGTGGCATTCCGTGAACTATATTTCCTGACCTCGTGCACTTATCTAGGATTTGTTTGTAAACAACTTATTACATATGCTATTTAATTAAGGTTTATATCACCGTTTCCTTATGCATTAATCGAGCTTTCCTCTTTTTCTTCCTCTCTCTCTCTCTCAACTGTTTGGCTGTTCTTTGATATCCTTGGTGTGGATGCGCCTGATGTGTATGTTGACAAAGTGCCTACCTGTCTATTACCCACTACCTCGTCCATACTGGCTCTAGGAGACAGTTGGTCGTTGCTGGAGGGGACAGGGTGCACGGTCCTTGTGGCCGTGTTAGGATCAAAGAGTGGTTCCACGCAGTCAGTGTGGAGCGGACTACGGTCAAGCCACCGCCTTGTGTGTGCGCTTGATTCCCAAATACAGTGTTTGCTTGTGTGTTTGCTTGTGAAGGAGTGTGGGCCGGCTCCGTTGATGAAACGTGGTTCCCATCCGCATGCCTCCCGGTCTTATTCCTTCGGGTTTACACTGGATATGGGGTTTGTGGTTGGAGCTGTGGGTGGTGCAGCACAAGCCACCCATGGTCCCTGTGTAGGCGCAGGCATCCTGTGGCTGGCCACAGTGACAGGCAAATCCGAAACCGGATGCCGCCAACCATGT